ACCAATAATGTCTGCCCTTCTGTTTACCTTCTCCCTGCATCCAACTCGTGGATTGCTCAGTTATCGACTGCAGCCGGAGAGGTCATCTCTCCTCTGGAGAAAAAAAAGCGAATGGCTCAGGCTAGCCTCAATTTGCCGCCCAGTTCTCAGAGCGAGGATAAAGAAAGGCCCTCCGTCATCCACTGTTCCCAGTCTCCAGCCAGGGCTTCTTCCAGCAGAAACTGCAACTCCTCTGATGGCTCCCCACTCCCTTTATCCTCCTCCTCTTCCCGCAGCCCCTCCCCTTACTCTGTTTCATCAGAGGAAGGTCCAGCAGGAGGTGAAGATAAAACTGCATCAAGCTCAGAAATGTCCCAAAACGCTTCTGTCAAAAATCCATCGGGCCGCAGTGACGATAGCAAGACTGTTAGTAAGACACACAAAGAACCTAAAGGACAGAATAAGGATGTTTCTCAAATCGTCTCTGACTCGATTAAAAACCAAGTTAAAGACTGGAAGTCCTACAAAGGAGCAAGCAAACATTACCTTTATCCTTTCCAGCTACCCACCACATACTCTGTGAAACCTGGCTTTTCTCCAACATCTACCTCTAGCTTCACCAGAGTTATTCCAAAATCTGGCAATGTTCTACGACCCACTCCAGTTCGGCCAAGTACCAAAGGCCAAACGGGCAGGTTGCTTCAGCAGGACGACTCTCTGACTTGTGCAAAGAGGATGTCTCTGTGGCCCTGTCAGACAGAGAAGAGAGAGAAATCCAGGACAATGCAACAGAAAGTTTCTCCCGCTCAGCAGAGCCTGTCCTATTCCGCCGCCAGCATGCCGTTGCCGTGTGTCCTGTCAGGCTACGAGAAAACAGCCAGAGACTCCAGGCTCCAACCTCCCCTGCCCCCTTCATTTATCCCCAGCAGAATGAGACTACCTCCCTCTCAGCTAATGTATCGCAATGTACCAATGGGTCCACCTCCCTCTGCTTTCATTGGGTCTGCTTTTTACTCCTACCCCTACCCCATTCCTCTGTTAAATCCCCAAACTGCATATGCCATTCCTGCCATCAATTCCATTTACCCTCAAAAGTTGTGAGAAAATCACAATGATAATCACAAAACAAGACAGTGGGTTGTTGCCCAGTTGAGTATTGTTGAGGCCTCCTGACATGTTTTAAACATTAAATATTTTCAAGTTATTCCTGCTGAGTGACTGTATGGATCCTGGGGATTAACACCGAGTAGTGATAGCTGCAAATATTTATAGGAGCCAGTGAATCATGTTGAAGACTTGCTGTCCAAGTGCACCTGAAAGGTGCACTACTTAAAAAAAAATTACAATATGCAATATTTCTTTAGCTGCTACACTAGGATCAAATAATGTAATCTGTCTAATATAAATTTTGGAAAAACAGATTAAGGTCAGTTATTTTCAGTTTTAATTTCTTTAGATTTTATCTAGTAAATTTTAATGATATGTTGCTATGATTATTAAAATTAATTTTATGTTAAATTCAGGTCAAAATGAATGCGATATTAAGGTTATCGTCAATTGCACAGTTTCAGTATTTTGTTTTTGGAAACAAAAAAACTGTCTAATGTTCCCTGATGTACTGTAGTTATGTCTGAAGATTATTATTATTTTGAATGAATGTTGGTCAGTGTTTGATATGAAAAAAAATATCTATATTGTTCTCATGTTATTCAAATGTATTTAAACGAAAGACTAAACGAGCCAACAAATAAAGAGAAAACATGAAAACATATTTGTTCTTTTTGTTCAGTTCAATCACAGCACTGTAAGATTGTGAAAGATGAAAGCTTTAGCACTACGCTCTCTCCTCCGCCTTCTTGATATGATGTTCTTCTGCTTTCCTGCCCGCTGTATCTTCGGCGATGCTGTTCGCTGTTTTTCGTAGCGTCCTGATGACACACAGTTTGTGCTCCAGTGGGTGATGGCAGTCAAACCTTAATTAGAAAAAGTTGCATTTCCTGAGAAAATGCAGTGTGAATGCCGTGTAGTGGAATCTGCTGAAAACAGCTGAAAAAGCAGAAGTTTCAGCTGAAAAGAAGTAAAAAAGCAAAAACTGCTCTCAAAGCAGCTGCTCATCTCACTGAGCAGAAGAGGCTGAGATTTGTGTTTATAAGAGGTGAAAAGCTGAAAATTCTGCTGAAAAGAGGTGAACTTTTTGAACTTTCTGCTGAAAATAGATGAAGAAACTGAAAATTCTGCTGAAAAGTTGTGCTCAAAACAGGTGAAAAAACTTTTTTGCTGAAAAGACATGAAAATGCTGAAACGGATATTAGAAAATTTGCTGAAATCATAAAAACATTGCAGATATGTAATAAATTGGCAGAAAAATTGTAGTGTGGTCCATTCATTTTAATGGGCCAAAAAATGGCACAAAAAGTTTAATATTTCAAAAAGTATAGCAGTTATGAGCACCAAAAGATATAGCACACATCTGCAGAAGGAGCAGAACAGTTTAAAGTTCGAATGGTGAAAATCAGTTGAAAACTGAGGGAGGAGTTAAGCGGCAAAGAAACGGAGCAAGTAGAATAATAAAGGATCAAAGAATAAAGAGAAACAGGATCACAATATTTTACGTTACCCATCAACTTTTAAATGTCTTACTAATGGAAATCTCACAGTCTAAGAAGGCAGTCATTTTTCATAACCTCCATGGTGAACTTGATGTGTTTCTCCACTAAGTTAATCTGATCAGTGAATTGTGGTACGTCCTGAGGTTTGATTTTCAACCAGGTGTCATCCACATACCTGAACCAATGACTTGGGGGTGTTCCAGGGTAGGATAACAGAGCCCCGTTTTCCACTTCTTCCATGTACAAGTTGGCCACAGTGGGTGAAACTGGGGAACCTATGGCACACCCATGTTTCTGCCTGTAGTACTGACACTTGTATTTGAAATAGGTGGAATGAAGACACACAGTTCCACAAACAAACACACTTGGTCGGTGCTGAGAGTGGTCCTGCTGCTGAGGTTGGGGTCATCCTGTAATCTCTTATGAACTACCTTCACTGCTTCAGTGACTGGAACACAAGTGAAGAGAAACGTAACATCATGTGAGATCATTGTTTCATCTGCCTCCATTATGACATCTCTAAGCTTCTCAACAAAATTCAAAGTGTTCTGGATGTAGCGTTTAGAGCTGCCTATCAACGGGTTGAGGATCAAAGCCAGAAACTCTGAGTTGATCATGCAGACAATTGGTCTTAAAGGTACACCCTGTTTTTGTATCTTCAGTAAACCATACAGACTTGGTGTAGTTTCCCCTGGGTGTAGCCTGTGGTATGAGGTCTGGTCAGCAGCATTGTCTTAATCTAAGTGTTTGACACATTCTATGACCCTTTTCCTGTAACCACTACCTGTGTCTCGATTCAGAGCCTCATAAGTATTTTTGTCAGTGAGCAGTGACAAATTCTTCTCAATATAGTCTTTCTGTTATTTGTGTTTGCTGATGTGCATTAAGGAAACTGCAGCTGTCTGAGGCATGTGGTGAGAGCTGCAACCTTGCAGGTCTGATGTAGTCCAGATAAGTTCAGAGGATGCTGATAGCGTGCAACACTGAACATCACTATGGTGGCCGCAGTGCAGGCAAAAAATATGAAAGAACTATGAAGCAAGTGCAATGAGGAGTGATGAGAAGGAGCAAATAGGACAAATGAGATACTGCAGTAAGGTTGTCTGAAATAGCTGCAACGAGCGAAGCAGATGATCTCTGAATTCACACTAATGAAACTGCAGGCTAAGAGCCCAGATAACATGTAGATCTAGCTCCCAGTTTGGATTTGTGAGACAGAAACCATCTCTACTTTTAAGATTAGCTTTAAAACCTTTGATAAAGCATATAGTTAGGGCTGGATCAGGTGACACTGAACCCTCCCTTAGTTAAAACTTCAATAGGCCCAAGCTGCTGGGGGGCTTCCCATGATGCAATGAGCATTTCTTCTTAATTCAACTCTATTCACACTCTGTGTGTTCATATGCTGCTTTGTATTTAATCATTAGTTATTTTTAATCTCCGGCTCTTTTCCACAGAGTGTCGTTTTTGCTTCCTCCCTCCCCACTCATCCACGACCACTCATGGCACAGCCTCCCTGAGCCTGGTTCTGCCAGGGGTTTCTTCCCATTAAAAGGGAGCCGCTTCCTCATAATGATTAATCTGATTGTTGGAGTTTATTTTTATTGGTTTTAGAGTCTTTACTTTACAACACAAAGCACCTTTACTGTTTACTGGCAACTGTTGTTTTGGCAATTAAATTTTATCAAATTCAATGACATGCTGATTTAGGAAATCAAATTGACTTCTACGGCATCAGTTATGTCTTTGTGTGTTTGTAATAATCACAATCTTTTGGTATTTCTTGAGTGAATATGCAGTACCCTGTGCTGTCACTGTCTTTTATATAGTGTCTATTATATTATGTCTATTAGTGGTATGGGAAGCATTTCTATGAGGGTTTTTCTAGATCATAAGTAATGCTTGTGTTATATATTTGATAGTATTAGCAGTAATTATCTGTAAATATATAAAATATATAATAAATATATATATAAAGATATCTCTCGCAATATAAGCACAAATCATAACTACTAATTACGATCCGTGAAAACACAATAGAAATGCTTCTCCCACCACTTTCTACCACTCTAGCATTACTTACAACAATCTTCAGCAACATGCAATATTTTGAGTGTATTGCTTGTATTCACAGCACGTGTTATTTAGAGAAGATTCCCTCAGTGATGCATTTCAGGAAAAACCGGGCTCATTGAACTTTTAAAGTTTGCGCTCCTGTAGCAGAAAATCCTCAACATCCCCGATCAATATTCTTCCTGAATGTCTAGAAACGAATTTACTGTCTTTTATTGAATGCTCCGTCCAATTATTAATAAAAACTATACTAAGCCTACGAGAAGGCTTGCCTGACAAGCTAAACTCGGGGAAACGAGCACAATGTAAATCTCGCGAGAAGAATCCCAGTGGCGCGAATAAACAACGAGTTTTTCCGCTAACTTGTGGCTGCTGTGACAGTAGTATTCGCATTAGTACATTTTTTCTCATATTATTCAGTTTTAATTGCTCTATTTTTATTATTAATTTATTTTTAATTCAACAGATATTCTGCGTTTTGGTGAAACTTTGTATTTTTACTGAAAACCATGTCGGACGCTTTGTCTGACGACGGCAGCGACTTCAACCAGGATGACACCCAGGAGGATGTTATGACCCCGGCCGAGCTGATCGCTAAACTGGAAGAAGTAGGCCAGATTATTCCCCTGACGTGCAGACTCTTCACCTCTATTAGATATTCAGCACCGTCTTCACTGTTGTGTCCGTGTGTGTCGCCCACAGGCTTGGCTAAATGAGAAGTTCTCACCGGAGTTGCTGGAGAACAAATCAGAGGTGGTGGAGTGTGTGATGGAGCAGCTGACTCATATGGTAAACTACCCGGGGAATACCTCCTGCTGTGGGTTTCTAATGTTCAGTGGCATGCATGGTTATAGTTGAGTTTCTGAATTGCAAAACAGCAACTGAAACGCGAAGGACTGCAACCTATGACAATGTGCATGACTGATTCAAATGCAGCAGAGGGAAAACTATATTCAGTACTGTGCAAAAGTCTCGAGCCACCTCTCTCTTTTTTTTGTTTTGCTATGATGTAGTGAAATTGACATGCAGAATGTAAGGCAAAAGCAAAGTTGGTACAAGTCTAATGAGCTTGAAAGTCCATATTCCGTATGACCACCTTTATGTTATACACAGCCTGAACTCTCTTGGGCAAGCTTTCTTGTAATTTCTTTAAGTAATCTTTAGGAATTGTTCTCCAGACTTCTTAAAGGACATTAAAAGCTCTTTGATGTCGGCTGCCTTTTGTTCTGTTCTCTGTCAAGATGATCCCACACTGCTTCAATAATGTCGAGGCCAATCCATGACTGATAGTGTTCCGCTGTGTGGGGTTTTTTTGTTTTTGTTTTTTATGTTTGGGTTTTTTTTTTTTTTCCCCATCCAGGTATGTTATTACTGCATTGGCGGTGTGTTAGGGATCATTGCCATGCTTAAAAATGACTTGTTTGGAAAAAAAACTTGTCTAGTTTGCACAATTTTATTTAATGGCACACATGCTGAGATATACCAAGCTGATTCTCAGTGGTTAGTAGCTCAGTGAGAATCATCTTGTTGGTGTAGAAATATAATTTCATACCTGTAAAATGTTTTTTTTCTTTGGCATTTTTAATAGATTCAACTAAAGGAGTGAAAAGAAAGAATGTGTTTTTTGCTACAGGCTCCTAATAGCAAAGTGCCTAAAGTAGCACGTTAAAATAGCTTCTTTGTTAAGTTGTCTGTTGTTTTTGCAGACGCGTTACTGGCTTTTCCTTCGAATTCGGTGCCTTTTCGTGCTCGGATGATTCATAGGTCAATGTTAAGTGGCTTAACAAACAAAAATAGGTGCATTCCACCTCTTCTAAACTGTGAATTTTTTTTTTTTTTTTAACCCATAAAAAGCAAAAGATTGTAGAAAAAGACCCATTACAATTCACTAGAGCTCAAAATGCCACTTTATACACACAAATTAATTTATTTTTCAGTGTGAGTTTAAAGAAAGTAATTTCCTCTTCAGTGGGTCAAAAAACATCAAATGTTCAAAATATAGAAGTTGAATTCAGGAATATCTGAGATTTCTTCTTTTTGTTCGTTTACTTGAATTATTACAAAAATGTTTTAATTTCTTCTGTCGCCTGACAGATCAGCACTTCATTGCTGGTTTTCTTACTATTTAGTTTCATTAGTATGGATAAATTGATCTATAGGAAGCCCTGCAATTGATATCAAGACTTTGATGGTAATGTCAAATGTGTAATGTGGTGGTTTCAAAATAAAATCTCAAACAATTCAGGGCAATGTGGTTTGCTCTGTGACAAACTACTAACTAAAGCTGCTGCCTGTCAGTAGGACCTTGATTACATTACTATACATCCAGATGTGGAGAGTCATTCATTTCAGATGATTAGGATGGTATTAAAACTGTGATATTCAAACATATCCCAGGGCTGTTGCTTTTCTGGTCATTCTGAGTAGCCCTGAATAAAAGGACCCTTTAATTTCTGACAGTTTTGTCACCAACAGGAGTCCAACTTGCAGCGGGTGAAGAAAGGCGATGCAAAGGCCAGCATCCATCGCATGGAAATAGACAGGATCCGCTACGTTCTCAGCAGCTACCTGCGCTCTCGTCTGCAGAAGGTCGGTTGGGTCGGCGCCACAAAACTGAGTTTTCGCTCACTCGGTGGCAGTTGGTGACATCTGCCTGACCTTTTGTGCTGTTCATGTCTAGATTGAAAAGTATTTCCCACATGTCTTGGAGAGAGAGAAGTCTCGGGGTGAGGGCGAGCCATCTCTGCTGTCGCCTGAGGAGTTTGCTTTTGCCAAAGAGTGAGTGTACTGGAATAAAGTCGTTTAACTCGCTGTGGTTCTTGCAACACTTGGGAATTTTTTTTAAATCACATGCCAACACATCTGGCTTGCAGGTATTATGCCAACACAGAAAGCTACCTGAAGGCTGTAGCACTGAAGCGCATGCCAGCCAATGTACAGACTATGGATATGCTCAAAGCAGGTAAGGTGTCGTTCTGTGTCTAAAATGGTGATACTATTAGCCCATGCAGACAGATGGTGACATTTGCTGTGACATTTTTACTGACCATTGCACTGGATTCACCACTGTGTATCCTAATGTTAGTGCCTGAGCCCTGCCTGGACTCCTTTGTGTTTCTGCGAGTGAAAGAGAGACAGGAAAACATCCTGGTAGAGCCTGAAACGGAGGATCAGAGGTTTGTTTGCCAATATTTCTCTGGATGTGCTATTATTTAGGCATCCAGTAGGTGACAGTGTTGCCTTCTTGCATTCGCTAACCTTTTTCTGTATAGATACTAAACTGATAAAATCTCCACTGTGTCTCTTCTATCAGAGAGTATGTCGTGGATCTCGAAGAGGGCTCTCAACACCTAATGCGTTATCGAACTATAGCTCCACTTGTGTCAAGTGGAGCTGTGCAGTTGATATGAATGCAAAGGTCAGTACCAGTGAGCCTTGACTGAGGCATTTTGTCATTAACTCAATACTGCCCTCACACCCTCTTCTACAGGCATCTAATAATTCATTTCTGCAGCTCTTACATAAGCCATGGCTTTGCGGTGACATCTGGATTTATTTTTAGTGCTTACTTTTTTCTCTTTCCCTTTTTTCCCTTCTTGAGTGTTCATTGTCTCTTGGCAACAGATAATAAAAAAACAGCATTGAAATTTTAAAGCACCATGATGTGTTTACAACAAATTTTAGTTGCCATCTCTAAACTAAACTACTGTTAACAGTCAAGGGCAATTAATAGTGGTCTTTTATATGTTGCAGGTTGCTTGTTACTTTGGATCCAGGAGACATTCCTGAAATAAAGACTGCACAGAGATCACATCAGGAAGCATGCCCTTCATCTTCATCTTTCATCCAGAATAAGGACTGACTTTTGGGATGTAAATATAGAGATGTTTGTAGCACCATGGGACCAGAATTTAATTCTGTGGGGGCGGGGGGACACAATCGAGGTCACTGCCAGCGGAAACTAAAAGCTGTGGATGAACCCTGTTTACTAAACTAGGTTTTTGCAGCGCTGAGTTTGTATTTTTGGATCTTTTTAATCATGCCATGACATATGCTTTGTTGTGTAGTACGTTGGTGTGCGTGTGACTGATAAAGACAGCTCTGTCTAATCTGTTTATTCATTACTCTTCATGTTGCTTCATCCAAATGATTCATGTTATTGGATGATTTCTCAGCTGCTCCATAACCGGATGCATCAGATGACCCGACGGTGAAATTTCATCAGTTCACTTGGCATCATAATGCCTTCCATCCGGTGCTCATGCTACATGTGCATGCCTCTTTGCAAGATCAGGGTTTGTTTGCTGTGATTTAAGGACATTCACACTTGAATTAACATGCTTTAATGTCATTGATTATCCTGTTAATGCTCACGTAGCTGTTGTACATTGTGACATTACTCTTTTTCACATGTTGAAAGTTTCCTTTTTGACTTTGCTTTAAACTTTAACCTAAAAGATGTTATGAGAACATTGTTATGTAAGTGTTTCAGCGGGAGCAATCAGTGCTTATTGTTTGCCTTCACATAAATTCACCAGTAATTAGAACTAATAAGGGATTGAAAGAGTGGGCTTAGACAGTCGTCTTGATTACTCTCTCTTGCTAACTCTTAAACTGCATTCATAGAAGACCTGGAGAAGAAATGTTACTTGATGTTCTGATTATCACACTGCTGTCATATAGTGTGGGCCTTGACCTGGTAAAACCAGGAACAAATCAAGTTGATTTAGATGTCTGATAGCATACAGTGAGGGGAACGGGCCTGTTATTATTCCTATTAAAATGTTGGAAAATAAAGTAAATATTCCCTCAGGCATCGAAGATAGTTTGAAATGTGAGTTGGAGAAAAAAATAAAATGATTGTGAAAAAAATTGCATTTATTAAACACTACACCATTTTTTTAGGCTTTGTAAAATCTTGACATTTGTAACAGTTTTTATCATTTCACACTAATTGTAAAGTCATAAAAATGTCCTGTAGTTTGGTGGCAACAGTCTCAGTAAAGATAGGTCTTCCATGTGTGGATATGTATGGAACTTGATCTACTCGCATACGCACATGGACTGATTCCTGTATAGCTTCTTCGGCTAAGTGACCAGCCTGCTGAGAGTTGTTTGTAATCCGGCCCTCCTCAGGTTTGCACATGCTGATGGACTGTGGGGCAGTGATTCCTTTAGAGCAGGCGCTAGATAGCAAAGGTTTGGAGCCATGCCCAGGCCTCTGTGGGATCTGTGTCCACTAACAGGTGTGAGAATAAAGGGCAGGATAACCTGGATAGTTTCCATAATGCAGAGTGGAATTACACAAAGAAGACTTTTATGTACGTAACGCAGATCGTCAACACTGGACAATGAATGTGCAAGGTGACGATACAAATATTTAACTTCACATGGTTAACATTTAGGTGTGTTCATATGTTTCTTTCCCATAATTAAATTATTTATTTATGCAAAGTAATGGCAACCTATGAAAACATAAAACTTACTGAAATGCAGTACCACAGGGAGACATAAAGAGAAAAATAGTCACAAGCTGATTGGTCAGGACAGCGAAGAGGGTGGAGTTTACAATATGACATCTAAACTGAGGTGATATAAATGTGTTGTGCCAGATTCTCCTGTGGGGAACAACTGACAACACAACTGCAACACGCTACTCATGGGAGATTGTAAGTACATTTTTAAATGTCAGAATTACACACAAAGATTGTTGCATGTTGTCACACACCAATCTTTGTGTGCAACTTTTTTTTCTTTTTTAAATACAGATTTTCTTGTAATTGTGACAGATTTTTTTCTTTTTTCCAGAACTCCAAACATTGAGAACAATATTCCCATCACTCAGCATAGGAATTCCAGCATGGAGATGTCCAGTACATCGTAAGCAGACACAACACACACACAAACTGTGCAGATTAGCTTGCACAACTTCTTTAGGGGTTAAATTAAAATTACCATAATATTTTTTATCAGATCCCTTTCACGTTGTGATGCCTTCCTTAAAAGCCCTGCATAAACATGTAATGACACAACTGCGATATATACAAAGATATATTCACATTTCCAGTCAGTACTGAGGTCCCCGTGTGTTTCTTGTTAGTGTCCTGCCAGTGGTTGGCTTTGGGTCGATGGCTCGGACAGCCGGACTGCTGGAGATTGCTGTCAGGCTGTGCTTAAACCAGCGTAAACAACTGTGTCCTCATGTCTGGGTTCCCATCCTGAAACCCCAGCGATCCTGCATCCGTCCTCCAGCTTCAGAGCACTTATCCTCTGACATCTTGAGCCAAGTCTTTCCGCCCCATCCTTCCTCACCTTTCCTCGATGACTTGGACGACGGCGATGATGTTGTGTTGTTCCCAATCAAGAGCAAACGTGTTGTTTTTGCCGACTCGCGGGGATTGTCTCTAACAGCCGTGCGAGTGTTTTCCGACAAAGAAGAGCAGTCTGACCTCGACCTGCTGCCATCACTGCAGTCTTTGGGCAGCATGACAGAGGATGGCTACAGCTGCACAGTCAGCACCTGCTGCCCAGGAACACAGCTCAAACTGGGCTTCCCGCAGCCATCTGCAAATTTCCAGGCCTTTCGTGCCAAGCTGGCAGAGAGCATGGTCATCTTGGAGAACTGCAGTATCAGCGAGAAGGCCCTCCGGGGTACCGTGAGAGTTGGGAATGTCAGCTACCAGAAGGATGTGCGTGTGCGCATCACCTTTGACTCGTGGCAGAGCTACAGAGACGTGCCCTGCACGTACCTGCAGAAACGCTTCGGAGGACCTCAGACGGACATCTTTGAATTTGACATTACCATTCCTAAAGTGCTAGATGCCAAAAGGAAGATTGAGTTCTGTTTAAGTTATTTGCCAGGAGGGCACAGCGAGCCTTTTTGGGACAATAACGATGGACAGAATTACAGCATTACAGTGAGCGTGAACTCACATCTGTGCCATGGGAAGAATCTAAGTGAAAGGTCATGACTCACTAAACCTAGAAGTGATCCTGTTTTTTTTCCACCTTCGTGTATACTGTATCAGTCCTGGGTGAAGGTTTAGTGTACATTTTTGTGTTTTTTTGTGAAATGTTACTTCTTTTATTTTTGATCATGTTTATACTGCTTAGTAACAGTTCTATATTTTAAAAATGTCTTTAAAACAGATCAGTTTTGGTGTCAGTTCCTTTCACGTTAAGCATCACACACTGTGTCCTGCATTTTGGCCCGTCACCACAGGATGAATTATTGTTGTGCGACAGGGAGGGGATCCCTTTCACTTTAGGCATTTCTGGGATTCCCATATAGGTCAGAGATTACTGGGCAGGGACAAACAGGAGGCCAATAGCAGAAGCCGCTAATCTTAGCACAGCTGCCAAAGAGCAACTGCAGGGAGCTTTGAGAGCTTCCTCATTACCTTTCTCTTATGTTCAACAACTGAACCTCCTCCTAATGGCTTTTACTGTTACAAAGTATCCTACTGTTCTGCAGTATGACAATTTCTTAGTCATAACCTTACATTTAAAGTGAAGCAGGAAAGTATTCAGTGAGGATGCTGGAAACTAACGTTCATGTTTCAGTGTAGTATAAGTGATTAGACTTCATTTTGTAGGAGACACATGGCCAGTGTATGTTGTTTGAGAGGTGATCACAATAAGCTGAAATAATCTCCAAAGGGAAAAAAAAACCCAGTTTACATGCCATCACACCAGCTTTGACTTGTCACAGCAGAGAAAGAGCAGGAGGACTGATGATGGCTGAGTAAGCTGTGAAAGTGAGCAAGTGTCCATGTTAGAAAAACCTCACCTTGACTATTACTTTGCCTGATTTTCCCTACTGCAACAAGTCAAAATGTCAGTTGTGAAAAAAACACATCAAAGGGAAAATGGGCAAAAACAAAAAAAGACATCACCATGATGATGCCAGAAAAAACAGTCTTCTTAAGCCTGCTGTGTTTTCAGTGCATTTTTTTTGTCATGGATGCATGTTCATTGTATTTCCAGCTGTGATTAGGATGGAGTAATGCTATACACACTTTTATAAGTCTTCTAGTTTAAATACACTATCTGGTCCAGGCAGGAGGGAGGAGGGAAAGCAGCACGAGTGCACCCTGAGAGGTGACTCTTTCCACAGTGTTCTGACCTACACATGATGGGCTCAACCATCTTTTTGCATCACAGCGTCTGTCTTGGCTGCAGACTTGCACACTTCAAGTTCTGCGCCAGCGCTTCCCTCAGCGTCCCACGCTGATGTTGCACACTTTGCAGCTCGGGTCTTTCTTGGCATTGGCGGTGGTCAGACTCATAAGCTGGTGCCCGCTGATCTGCTCCACGCCGCCCTGATCCAAGTGAACCGGCTCGGTGAACAGCACCTCGAGGATGACGTCGCTGGCGTGGCAGTACAAGGGCTCCTCCCCGGGTCTCTGAGAGGCAGTGTAAGTCAAAAAGGGGTTGGAAGCCAAGTCCAGCATAGGGAGGCGGGTGCGGCAGAAGGCATCTCCCTCTGAGCCAACAGGGGCAAGCACCAGCACCACATAGTGGTAGGCCGTGTACATGCAGTAGAAGTCTGCAAAATACAGGCAGATGTTGGGGTTCAGCAGGTGTCCAGCCGGGATCTGAAACCGCAGGGGTCCGTACGGGGAGTCTTTGGGAGGGAGCCCTGTATCAAACTCTGTGTTGCAGCTGAAGAAGACTCCATGCAGTTTGCCGCTGATGGGTGAGCCGTGACTCCCACTGGTGTCTTTGAGGGCTGGACGCATCAGACCTCCACACTCCTTTCTAATTCCATACATTAAAAAAGGAAAATGAGTTATTGCATTCCGTTCATATGGGAATGTATAATAAAGAGAAAAAGTGAAGTGCCTACCTGACATAATCAAAGTAGTCTGGGTGCTGGTTGCGATAAAAGACAGAGAATTTCAGCAGCCTCCCCGCTGAGCCCTTGGCCTTGTCGAGAAGCTGCTGTAGGTGCTCCATTGCGTAGTCTGCAAAGTTTAAGTTTTGAAGCTGTGAAACTACTTGAAGTCTACACTACTTTCAAATGTTAATGACTATCTGGTGCTGAGACAGAATTGTGGGTTGTTGTCTTGCCATTTTTGTGTGCTGCACTTTTTTGTTCCTTTTTTGTATCACTTTGGTCAGATCTCTGATGTTTGACTGCATGCATAATCACTGTTATTTTAGTCACAACACATGAGTGCATGTCTTACCCCCAGTGCAAAACTCCACCACCTGGCTCCACTCTGAGACCAAGTAATCACCATCTGGCTGTCGGACAGCAGTTTGAACAGCAACACAGTATTCTGTCCGCGGGCTGAGGAACCAGTGTCCCCTCACTGCCATGGGGAGAGGCACGGCTTTGGCCACCAGCTTGGTCGGCACGTCCTGCAGGATGAAGCAGGAAGCAGGTGACACCAGGGTACAGGATGCAAGCCTTTAACGGTCTGCCGCATGCATCATTTACATTTCAAAGCCGATGCAGATGCAATTGTTAGTCAAGCATTTCCTTCCATAAACTTTGCCTTTATTAGTGTGAGATTCCATTTTTAAGCCCCAGCTGCTGTAACTAGGATACATCTAATCAAAACAGCAGCTTCGTTTTGACCAAGGCCTCTAAGCAGCACAGCTAATTACTACGGGCTCAGAGGTCCATATATCCATAGCAACATCTCTGATGCAAGTTTGTTTGTGCCTCTTCGTGTATCAGAGAGAAATCATATCCTCCATCTAAGAAGAGCTCGCTCAGTACTACCCCTGCCTTGATTTCACAAAAGCACTTTTTAGTTTGTGAATACGTGCTGCAATAATATGCCATAATTACAGTCGACATTTTGCATCTGCGGAGATAGCAACTGTTTCTTTTCATTATCATTATTTCAGGCTACAGGCATGCCATCAGTATAACTATTAAAAAGAACACGAGAAAAAAAGGGAAGAAAATTTAAAAAATGATTGGAAGGAAAAAATACGTTTTGAAATGTATAAATAGAGAATAAGGCTTGTGGTGGCTTTGGATGTGTGGACCAGGCAAGAGGGAATGCATAGCTGTTGAAGTCTTTGGAGTTAGTAGGGTTTCATCATTAAGTTTAAGTTTAATTATCCCACAGTTTATTTTTAATGTCTGAGTAATAGCTCATAGTGCTGGCGGGGGCACAGAAGTGACCCTATGTGATAATGACTTCTCTAAAAGCCATCTGGGATCAAACGTGCTGGAAGTGCTGGTAGAAGTTCATCATCATTTGGGGCTGCTTTGTTACCACAGTGCCTGTCAGCTTGCAGACACTGAGGGAAAAAATATTAATTTGAAAGCGGACCATGAAAATTTACATTTGAATTTCAGGACCGAAGTCAATATGAGAGCGGACTTAACAAGATGATGATCAACAGCAAGTTAATGAACCACA